TAATCGAATTCAATTAATTTTAATTAAATTTTATCTATTATTAATCAGTAAATAATTATTTATTGAAATAAAACAAAAAATATACTGTATATGTTCAAAAAAAATAAACAATGTCTATTTATTTTTTGACCTATTCTTGAAGCGTAGATGTTTATTCATTTTAGCTGGCACGCGACTGAAGGAATGTTTTATAACTGTGTAATATAATTTACCAATTTGTACTAGAATATTTTTTGTTTAATTTTTTGTTTGTTTACAGACGTTTTAAATTTTAAATTTATATTGATGTCACGTTTTTTTATCAAAGGTGCCCCAATGAGTTAGTGAAAACAATATAATTACATTGTTATGTTCATGTTTTTAGAACATTATAATTGCGACGTTATTTACGGTTCATTATCTATTAGATTACATTAAAAGATGTCTATTAAAATTGAAAATATCAAGATAGGGTTATCGGTTCCGAAAATCGGTAAAATTAATATTAGGAATGGGATAAGTAAGCTTAGACACTAAAATTTTTTTTATTTGAATTATACATAAATTATTCAAATTTAAATAGAAAATTGCGGTCATAGTTTCTTAATAATTTTGTTAAAAAAATCTTGCTATACTAGTAATAAAAAATGGTTTTATTTAAATTTTTTTATCACAAATGGGCAACTTAAAATTTGACCGTTTTTTTAATAGTTTTTTGGTGTATGAAAGAATAAAAATTGAGAACTTTTATAGAGTAAATATTGGTATAGTATTATTTACTCGTAATCTTAAAGAAACTTATAAGTATACTTTGTTCTATAATAAATTTTAATTTTAAGTAGGATGATTTCTCTTTATGTTTACTTTTGAAAATGACCCTTATAATCATATTTTCAAAATTAAACTCAAAAAAGTTTAAATTAATACAAGTAAACTGGTTTAAAAGCTCAAATTTCTCGTTGTAGAAAATAAGTTTAAATATATTCGAATAAATTCGTCAGTGTACAAAATAGTTACAAAATACCCATTAAAGCGTCTAATGATACTGTTTATATAAACTTAGTGACGTAAATTTTATATCAATTAAACTATGATTAACAAAACTAGAAATTATATTTTAAATTACTCATCTGTTTTTTTACTAGTGACATTCATCCCTCACAGTCAGAAAGTATTAATCATTGACTACTATGTTTTTTAAAGGACTCAGTGATGATAGCTGAAGGATCTTCAATCATTTTTAGTTAACAGTCGATATTTTTTTGTCAACAAGTATAGTTTTATTCTTGACAAAAATTCGTGTTGACCTTACTAATGCGTTAATCCAATTACAATTTTTTTACAGTAAGTAACCTCATAAACAGTACAATTATACTATTAATTTCAATCTTTATAATCAATTTTTCAAAAATAGACTTATAGTTATGGCAATTTCATTAAAAAAAACAAAGAAATTAACATATAGTGTTTTTCTATACAATATTGTTGTAAAATTAGTAAAAACTACTTGTTTAGTGTAAAAAATATCATAGAATATTATAGATATCACTTAAAATATAAAGATACATCTCACGAACTTTTACCTAGGATCTTATCTAAGTAAGTATTGTATAATGACAATATTTATATAAATAAATTAATAGGTAATTAAGAGAAAGATATAAGGACATGTAAACATTATATCTATAGAACATTATAATCTATCTATTATCTTCTCCTATTTTTAATTTAATTATTACAAGCTACATTCAGAGAAATACGTTGGTAAATTAAAAATAAGTTAGATATTTTAAAAATCTGCTTATTCATAAATGTTCAACAAATCGTTAATTTACAACGAATATCTTATAAAACTTTCATGTTATTTTGACTTTAAATATTATGGTAGGTAATATCAATTAAATTATTGTTATAAGCACAATTAATTAGCTGCTGTGTAAAGAATATTATTATTATTATTTTTAACATGGTGCAAAGAATCCTGGCAGTAAATTTTAAGGGAAAAATCTTATAAATAATTAACTTTTTTTTTTTTGGTCAAATTTTTTTTATGTTAGCTACAATTTGTTAGACTGAATTTTCTGAAACATAAAATCATGTTATACATATTATATACAGAGTTATTCTTTTGACATTAGCAATTCAATTTTTCTTAAAAATAATAATTATCTTAAGAAAGTTCGTCTTGCTATTTTTAATTTTTATATATTTCTCTATTTATTAATCATTTCTTAATTCATTAATTATTCACTTATATGTAATAAAAATGCCAAATATATTTTTTTTAATCGAAACAGACATATTTAACTAGATTAAAAAATTAATTAAATGATTGGTCCTTAACAACTTTTGACTTATTATTTCCGAAGTCATAAATAGTTTAAAATATAGAGTGGTAGTGAGGTATGGGTTATTTTTATGGTCATCGTTTTTATAATTTAATTTGGACTTAAAATATTTTTTTAATTAAAAGCACTTAGTTGTTTTTAATAAATGACTAAGCCCTAGAGAGCGAGAATCTTGAGTAGAGTGTCTTAGTTTTTGTATATTTTGAAATTACCAAAAAACTGGTTTTGATAGGGAAAATGGAATTTTTTAGTAAGAAGAAGGTAGTCTTGTAATTCTTTGAAACTGAAGCCTTTTATTTAAATTGGTGTATTACAATGGGGAACATGTGCGTAGGCGTTATTTGAAAATCTGTACAATAATACGATATTATGCCATTAGGTTATTTTGTATTTAAAGACGAGATCTTTGTTTTGGTAATCTTGTATATTTATAATATCTGACATAAATTCTCGAATAATAACATCATATTATATGATAATGTTACTTTATATTAATGATATAAGTGATAATATAATATTACATAGTGTACACTTGAACAAACGATTATAGTAGTAATAATTTATTATTATCGATAAACAGATTTAAAAACTGGGGTTAATTGATTGTTGTCACAGATAATTTGTTAGGTAAAAAATTAATGTAACCAACAGATATTCGTTAACAGAAAAAGTTGTTATATTATATTAAACGGGATAAAGATTAGACTATAGTTAGGTTATTTCCGTGATAATATGGTTTAAGTTAAAAATTTGTCAGTGAGACTTTTTTTTTTATATTGTTGATCTACAATATAAAAAAATGTGCGTCAACGCACGTTGTTTCTATATTACAATACGCTCTTGTGTTCGAGACTTAGTTCATTATATTTTATAAAATCACATTAACTATATGATACTAATTATAATTACCAATTATATATGAAATTAACTATATAACTGTAAGAAATATTTTGAGTGTTAAAAAGCCAGAAAATATGTTAATGTTTCCAAGGAATTATGTAGTTATATATGAGTTTGAAATATTATTAAAAAAGAGTATTTCAAAACTGCTCGATTAAAAAATGAAATGTGGGATTTATTAAATTTAAACCAATAAGATTAAAATTTATAACTGAAAAATTAAAAAAAAATCCCTCATTCAAATTTTATTTTACTATTTAAAAATTAATATAATATAAGCGAACTCCTATAGTTAGTCGATGATTTTTATTAATATGGTGCACTATTAATAATTATGATATTTTTGATTATAACACCATTTCATTTAACAAATAGTTCAGATATTTTATTTTGTTAATTTCTTTCATAAATATTCAATGTTACATTGGTAATATATAACTTTTTTTATTGATATTTTAAATCTTATTATGTTTAGTTTTTTTTTGTTTTTAAAAATAACGATGTGTTTTATATACTTTAAAATAGTTTAATTTTGATTTGTCAATTGTAATTAACTATTCAATAATTACCTAATCAACCCATCAAAAAATAAAAATATAAGGTGTATAACTTTTATGAAATATTAGAGTCGAGTGTGTTGCTAATTACAAGCTTAATGATATTTAAAAATAACACTTTTTTAATTATACCAAATTAACTTTTAGAGATTTTCTGAAAGAAGTGGTTAATCCAAATAACATGGCCCGTTACAGCTAAAGTTATTCAACAGTGTAAACAAAATAAAACAAAGTTAACAATTACTTTAATACTTTAAAGGTTCGCTGTTTTGAGAATAGCGTACGGTAACTGACTCATTGCGTTTCTAGAAGTTATGGAAAAGTAGCCAGAGCCCCTCTTTTTTCTTCTAAACAAAAAGTTTACAAGAATATAACGTCTATATTTTTGAATATATATACGTGACCAAAACTGTGCCGTAAAAAATCAGTCTTTTATTTAAAACCTAAAATCAACAGCATAATGAAATATGTTGATTTTATTTTTCTCATATATTCAGCTAAAGTAAAGTAGTTTTGTAGTTTTAGACTACAAAACAATAAGCTAAATTTGAAATTTATAGGTAATTACAAAATAAATTAAAATCGGCATTAAGACAAGTCAGTATTGATTAGATTTTAGATAAAATCAATGACTTCTATTTTTGTCGAATTTCATTTATTTAATTCATTTTTCTAGCCATTTAAAATTATATTTTGAGTTAATGAAATATTTTAAGAATTATTCATGTCGATAAGCGAATAATATGAGAAATATTATTATTTAAAACCATTATCATTGATTAAAATTAGCATCTACATTTTTAAAATTGTTCGTAAGCATTATTGACATTTATTCATAACAAGATTCGTGAATCTTGTAAGCATTATTTTTGAATTAGCTTGCTTGTGGGAGTTTTGCGTACTTCAAGATTATTAATATTTATAACTAGTGTGTTGTGAAATGATTTTTTATGCTCCCATTAATTTTGCTAATTGGAATCATCAGGAGTGAATTTTGCGAAAAAAAGTTTTTGTCGAAAACAAGATAAAAACAATTAGCTCTGTTTTTAAAATTAAAGAATACTATGCGCATATCTTATTAGGTTGAAATTTACGTCAACATATCATATGTTTCCTGTATTTTAAAGACATTCTATTATGTAAACATAAGTCTTTTGATTATATTAATTAGTAATATTCTTTAAAATTTTAGCCTGATACTTTTATAACGCAGTAAAATATGTATTGATAACAACAAGTTCTACTTGGTCTTCGGCATTTCATTTTGTAACTTCAAAAGCACCGCATGTATTCTGTTTTTTATCCGTTTCTTTATTTTTTTAATTATTTTTAGTCGTATCATATTATTTTCAACTCGTGTGATAAAATTGTCGACGAAGGATTTTGAAAAACGTTTAAATTATAATTAATATAATTTTTATTAGGTATTTATAAAAAAATACAAGATAATAAGATAGTTATATTAGTAAACTAAGTATTTTCCTATATTATAGCCTCTTTGTTTGTAAAACCGATTTTGGTTATAATAAATAAAAACAAATATTGTTGTATTATCAAAATTGTTTTAAATAAATCATATTGACAAATGTTTTGTATTTTTGTATAAAAGGTAGATTACTTAAACTAGATTAAACTGATAATAGTATTAATCCTAATATGACAATAATCTTTGATCACTTAATTTTTACATCATTTTTTTCACTATCAGTTGATTTATTGTGATGTATTACTAAAAAAATATAAGGCCATATCATTAGATAAAATTTTATCACGTTAATTACTTTAATTAATGTGTTAATAAGATATTTATCTAATATCAATCTTTTTATATTAAGAATATATATTTTAATATAATTTAAACGTATTTTGTTAATTAAATAAAACAATCATTTGAATTTAATGATCCTATGACTTTGCAGCTTGAAAATTATAGTCTACGATTATACATAAAAACTGTTATGACTGGAACTCTAATAAGGGAATGCTCGAACGGGCGAATGTGTAAACCACAATCAGATTTAACAGATCGCTGTAAAGAATTAATCACTATAGATTCATGCACAAATTTCAACACACAACATATAAAAAAGCCTAGTTTAAAAGGAGATGTGTTGAATATAATTGTGCTAGTAGTTTTGTATGTTTTGAAAGGGATTCCATTTGGAATGTCAAATGCTGTAAAGATATTACTGCAAGACAAGAAAATTCCATATGAAGAACAGGTAGTAGAAATAAAATAAATAGTTGTTCATTGTTTCTTATTATAAATAATGAACAAATGAAAATATATTAAATTATATTGTCAAAAAATTCATGTAAATTTAATAAAACTAATTAAACTGACAATTTATAGAACATTTTATCTGGGGCAAAATAAATGTTTAATGATACTGGCTTGGCAGTTTGAATTCAAAATATTCTTTAAAGGAAATATGTCTTACTGAAAAGAATTGCTCTTTTTTAAGTTCCTAGTGATATTAAGAAGCTTTTTTAAATATTTAATAAAATATAAGTTTTTACCATTAAGTGTGTGCATTATTTTTTCAAGATCTCTACACAGAGTCTAATTTACTTTTGAATAATTGATTATTAAATCACTAAACAGCTATTTATCAATGTAATTTCTAAATAATATGCTATTTATATTCTAAGAGGTCAAACATTAAATATTTTTTATTATAAACACTAAAAATAGTTAAATTTGATCTATAACTATACGTTTGGCTATATATTTTTCTACTTTTTAAATTTTTTTTAGTGTATTTTGTTCATTGACGTATTCGGAAGGAGTCTTCTCATGGACTTATACAGCCACCACATATGTATTGTTATAAAATAAAAAATCTTTTAGAAAGGAAATGAATTTAGTCCTCAAATTTTTTTCTTAAATATATGCCTATGGTTTTAACTAAAATCAAATTGAATCCAGTAAATTATATTTTACGTAGACATATTTTAGAACTGGTAAACTCATGATGTTTTAATAAAATTATTTAAAACTACTAAAATGTAGTTTAAAATTATAAATTAAAAATTATTTTTACGTTACATCAAATTTAAAATGGTGGCCATTTAAATATTTTTCTGGGGATGATGTCATTTACTGTACTTTGATATAATATTTTGATTTATATCGGAGGATTTATTAAAAAAACACTCATAATTTTTTCGTTAAATTTTTTTAAAAGGGTTACATTAAGTTTAAAATAAAATTTGACTTATCGTTAAGTAATTTTAAGATTTTGTTGAAGAAACATCTAAAAAATATTGTCATCTTGAATATTATCAAAAAAAAGTTTTAGACTTATGAATTATCATTTTATATTTAAAATTTTAATTCAACACAGAATTATTGGAAATTTATTTACAATTATTTAAGTCGTTATTATTTATATTTAACAGCAGAACTATAATTTATACAAATATCCAGAATAGTCCTACAGCCTAATTATTAATTATAATTTACTATATATATTGGATATTTGCTAATTAAATAATTGATAATATACTTTTTTTTCTAATCTACAGTTTCTCTAATTTAATAGGCTGTATATTCTATAATTTATTGGCCTTACACTCTGAAGATATTTATGGCCCCTTTTCTTGATTTAACGATTTCGAAAAAAATCGGTAGAAGAAAAATATGGTTATTTCCCATTCAAAGTTTAATCGGTAATTGTATACTAGAGCTTACATTAATATAATAATTGAGATATTTTTTAATGTTCTGTATTCTGACGGTAGGAGGACTATTAATTTTTATCGGATATGGAATCCAAGACTGGTTGAATGATAAAAATCTGAATTTTAAAATGGTGACATCCGTGTTTTGTGTTTTACTGATCTTGTCAGCTATACAAGACACTGTAATTGACGGATGGGCATTGGATTTTCTCAAAAAGTAACATATTGACTTAATATCACTTACGTTGAAAACATAAAAAAAATGTTTGTATTCTGTAGAGAAAATGTGGGTTATGCTGCTTTATGCAATAACTGCGGACATGCCATGGGTGTTATGATTGGGTACGTGGTTTTGTTGCTGTTGGAATCGGAGAGTTTTTGTAACAAATGGTTACGTTATACTAAGCAAAGTGGCGGAATTGTATCATTTAAAGGTATTTTTGATATTTTTACACATCTGACGTGAAAAATAAAAACAAATATTATGAATGAATGAATATTATTGTTGTATTGTCTGGGGGTCCTTCTCGGTAATTCCTATGAGCAGTGTCGTGCTAATTGTCATTAACATTTAAAGACAATCATATATTTGGCATCTCTATTATATGTTTAAACAAAATACATTTTATGCAAAAAAAAATTATTCATAATTATTTTTTGGTGCCCCTCACATATGTAGCGTCCGAAGGTACTTTCTCCTATTGCGCGCCATCAGTAAAGCCATGAATACTTTTATTATTTAAAAACTAAAAAATGCATTTGAAAATATTAATAAAAGATATAAATATATAAAAAATACTTTATTTTAAAAGCCACAACAAATATTGTTAGTATAAAACTCCTACAATTTTATTTTTGCGATTATTACTAAGAATATTTTTTTATGATTTTTAGAATTAAGTAGTTTTAATTTATTTTTATTATTATTTGACTGTTTTTATTTGTTGTGGCGAAGCGTTAATCTTGAGGTCGGGTAGACATTGAAAATAATGCTAGCTCTAATGACTTTTTCTAATTTTGTTTATTTTTATAAAATAAATAAAAATTAAATATTAAATAAAAATTATTTAATATAAATTCAATAACAAAATTACCCAGAAATCTTTTTTTTTACTTCATGTTTACAATCCCATCATTCAATAATTCTTCTTCTTCTGCTTCTTCCTCGTCTTAATCCCAACTACTTGGGGTCGGCCACACTTATCCTAAAACTTCCACTTGACATGATCTGCCACATCATCTATGCTTACATAAGGTGTCCTTATATTGCATTCAATAGCATTCCTCTATCTCTGTTTTGGTCTTCCTTGACCTTTTCTTCCTTCAACATTCATTTCTATAACTGTTCATACAGCTTCAGATTCTTTTCTCCTCATAACATGACCAAACCATCTAAATATATTTTTTCTCATCTTATTCACAATTGACGTTACAACTATACTCCTTCTTATATGCTCGTTCCTTATCCTATCTTCTCTAGTCACTCGACTCGTCTATCTAAGCATTCTCATTTCTGCTCTACTTTCTTATCAACCGCCCAATACTCAAAACTCAACACTCAGCCTCATTGGAATTCTTTTATCGCATAAGACACCAGACACTTCTCTCCACTTCAACCACCTGCACTTAATCCTGTGTCTTACATTCTCGTCAATACCACTACTCTTTTGCATAATTGACCCTAAATACTTAAAACTTTCCACCTCTCTTATCAAGGCCTCACATATTGTCACTGAACCCCTCATTTCACCTACTCAGTGTTCTTTGTTAAACTCGTGCTCTATATATTTAGTCTTATTCTTACTTATTCTTAAACCCTTTTCTTCAATAGCTGATCTCTACACCTCTAGCCTTTGATTAATTTCCTCCTTATTTTCTCCTATTAACATTATATCGTCAGCAACAACATGCACCACGGCACCTCTCCTTGTATTTCACTAGTAATTTCATCCACCACTTAAGACAATAAGTAAGGGCAGCTTAAAGTAGAACCTTTGTGCACTCCTACTATTACCCAAAAACCTTCTGTTACTCCTCCTACGCTTTTTATTACGGTACAAGTGTCATCATACATATCTTCTATTATATTAATGTACCTTTTCGGGACTCCTTTTCTCATCAATGCCCACTTGAAAACCTCTCTCGATACTCTGTCATACGCTTTCTCCAAATCTATAAATACCATACACAGTACTTTCTTCTTTTCCCTAAACTTTTCTATTAGTTGCCTTACACAAAATACTAGCTCCATTGTTGACTTATCAGGCATAAATCCAAACTGGTTTTTAGATACCGATGTCGCATTTCTTATTATCTTATCCTTTATCTTTTCTAAATTTTCATACTATGACTCATAAGCTTTATGCTTCTATAATTTCCACACTTCTGTATGTGACCTTTACCTTTAAATATCGGTACCACAATAATATTCCTCCATTCATTTGGAATTTTCCCATCTAATAAGATTTTATTTAAAAGTTCCTTCAACCACCTTATGCTAACATCGCCTAATATTTTCTATACTTCTACTGGCACTTCATCTGGTCCTACTGCTTTATTCATTTTCATTGATGCCACAGCCTCCCATATCTCTTTATCACTAATTCAATCTACCTATCCCTCATTCCACGAGATACCATTTAATCTCCTCTTCTTTTGCTCTTTTGTCATACATTGAATAGTTTTTTCTTATTTTCTATGATTTTTTGAACATTCTCATCCCATCACTAGTTTTTCTTGTTTCCTGGTATTCTACTTCTACTCTTACTAACAATCTCTTTTGCAGTATTCTTTACATAACTAGCAAATCTATTTCACACATTATTTATGTCTCCCTTGACATTCTACACCGTCCTCTCTTTTACTCTCTTTACAAACTCTTTTTCATTTTCCCCTTTTAATTTCCATCACCGGATATTCGATTTTTCTCCCGTGTTCCTTCAATTTTAGTATATTCTCTTTCCGTTATACCACACCTCCAATACAATTAGTCTATGTTGTGTAGTTACATCTCGTGTGGTATAACTTTACAATCTTTTACTCGCTTTACGCTCTCTCTCTTCCACATAAAATAACTAATCTGTATTCTATTCCTCTCAGTATTATAAGTTATATAATGTTTTTCCTCTTTCTAAAATAAGTATTAACCACCCCGCAAGATCATACGATACTGTGAAATCCAGCATTCTTTTTCCAGCCTCATTTTTCCTACTAAAACCAAACCCTCCATGTACTCTTTCATATCCTCTCCTTTCATTTCATGTCCATTCATATCTTCACCTATCACCGCATCCTCATTGCCAGGTATCTCATGCATCACCTCATCCATCTCACTCCAAAACAATTCCTTGTCTATTTCATCACATCCTATTTGTGGTGCATAGGCATTTATTACATTCAGCACTTTTTCCTCGAATATCAATTTCACGACTATAATTCTGTCACTTTTCCTAGATACTTCTACTACTTTACTTTTCATCTCCTCATTCATTATTATCCTTACACCATTCTTTGTACTAGACTTACCTGCGTATATTATTTTATAGCTCTCACCTATTTCCCTCGATTTCTCTCCTTTCCACTTAGTTTCCTGCACACAACAGATGTTAATTTTTCTCTTCTTCAATACTTCCACTAATTCTCTACTTCTACTATTTAATGTTCCAAGTACCTATTCTTACTTTGTTTCTATCTTTCTCCCTTATACACGAGTCCAGCCTAGAGTTAAGTGGTGATGTCTCTACACCGTTGACACTACAAGCATTGGGTAAACCTGCACACGTCTCTGGTGAAACAGCTACCGCACAAGTTGTCCGGCTGGTATCAAACACTTTATTCTCTAGGACTTCTCCGTTTTTAACTACTTTATTCCCTCTCACCTGTTGCCCCCGCGTACATCCGAGATGGGACAATTCGCCTAAAAATTTTGTTCAGAACACCTAACACTATTTGACAAAAAAATTTTACGTCAGCTGTCGACCTGACCCATCATTCAATAATTATAAATTTTATTATAAGACAAGACAAAAACGTTATTTATTATATATTAGAAATCGTGCGTGATAACAACACAACATGTAAAAATAAATCGTAAAATAAAAAAATGTAGAAAATTTTTGACAGTACACGGCACTTGGAGATATTTCTTATCGTGCAACAATAATTTTCACTCTTTTTCAAACTCTCTGCACACCGCACTAAGAAAAATAAAACAAATTGAAACGTCTTTGATGAACACCACTAGCTTACATGGTACTCAATCAGTTTATTTAAAAAGCAAGAATAATATATAATGGTTTTATGAAATAGATATTTTGAATATTCATATTTATAAATATTTTTAAGTAAAAACCAAACTATTCGATCTATTTTAAGTAGATTATCTCATTGTTTGCTATGACGCTTCGCCACTGAATTTGTTTAATAATGAGTATAGATTAAATGTATGAGATATTTTTTTTTAAGGTTTCTTTTGCTTTTGGGGTGTCATGTTTATCATAGCTACAGTGATAATAGGATTATTTAAACACGAAAAAAAAAATAATAATCCAACCAAAGTTAAAATTTTTCAAGTTTATGGGCTCGCGTGGAAAATTTTAAATTTAGAAACTATAAAACAATTTTCTTTTGTAGTTACGACCTATGAAGTAAGAATGCTTTGGTTTTAAATTATTTAAACTATAAAAATAAGTTTAAAAAAAGTTTAAATCACTATTTGATTTTAGATAGCGTTTGCAATAGAATCAATAATGTCGGCAAAATTTCTAGAACAAGGTATTACAAAAGATGATATAGTTTTAGTTGATCTATCATTATATCCGATTGGATTGATAGTTGCATTTGTAGTAGCAAAATATACGATCGGCCCAAAACCTATGAGTCTATTTTTAAAAGTCATGCCATACCGGTAAATATTTTTGTTATTTTCAGTTGGCTTATAATACTTAATAATTTTTTTCTATCTCTAAGATGATTTCATTAATTTCAGAAATAACTTATATTTTACATTTTGAAACTGATCGATAATTTTTTTTTTGTAAGGGAATTCACGATATTTGTAATATTTCTATATATTTTCAAGTTTGAAACCCCAATACTATTTATCTTGTATTCTTAAAAACAACATCTTAGATGGTTTGGTCTTGTTATGAGGAGAAAAGAATCTGAAGCTGTAAGAACAGTTATAGAAATGAATGTTAAAGGAAGAAGAGGTCGAGGAAGACCAAAACAAAGATGGAGGGGTGTAATTGAATGCGATATGAAGACGGCTGATGTGAGTATAGATGATGTGGGAGATCGTCTTAAGTGGAAGTTTAGGATATGGGTAGTCAACCCTTATGGCAGTTGGGATTAAAACGAGGAAAAAGAAGAAGAAGATTCTTAGAAACAACATCATCTTAGTTTTCCTTAGTAATTTCTAATTAAATATCTTAAAATAATAACAAAATTTAGTGTGATGCTAATTATGGTATTATTTTAAGTAAATTTTAAGTCTGATGAGAATAAGAAAAATGTATAATGTGAATCCTTTTTTCGAAAGCAATTAAAAGGGTCCTGTGCAAAATAATGAAAAACCCTGTTTTTTAAACTAGTTTTAATTTTATATTATTATAATGAAATTGTGTTTATTTGATTGTTGATATAATATTACAAACGGTCATATAATAGAAAATATGATACATTACTTATATGCATGTTTGATGGATATTAAAAAAAAAAACCTTCACAAATAGTATTTTTTTAAATTAAAAGTAATTAATGAAATGTAAGTTAATCATTAATATTATTATAATTTAATATTTTTAGAATGATTGTTGGGATTTTATCCGGTGTACTTGTTTATTATACACCGCAATATGTTTCTAAAGATGGTATTTCGTCACGTTATTTCTTTCTAATATTTCAAATATACAATATTTTCCAAAGAGTAAGTACTAATAAAAAATGTTTAAGTATATTTAATAATGTTATTAGATTTTAGATTATGTTATTATTCATTAGTATTATACTTATTTTTATCATATTATCAATTGAGGTCTAGAAATTCTTATTTGTCAAAGTAAAATTACAAAATCCTAAAGATAATATTGTATTTTAATTAGTAATCCATTTATATACTTCTATAGCACGGTAAAAAATCTTACTTAAAAAGTTTGATTTTAAATGTTCCACAAATTTATCTAGATAATTCCCAAAGTTAATAATACAAAACGAACTTAAGCCGGTCTATGAAAAAATTTCAGGAGACAAAATTTGATTTTTCACAATGCAAAAGGTTGAAATGGTCACCGCGGGTCTGTTATTTATTTATGTATTTATGTATTTATGTAGTATAAAGATAAAATTTGGGTATTTAAGTGAATATTCTTAGACCATACACTAAATACTTAAAATTTAATCTATTTAGAAGTTAACTGAACAGCTTTTAAAAATGGATAAAAAAGATTAAATGGCATTTAGTTGGTTTTCTAAAATTTAAACATTTGTGTGTAATAAAACAAAAGATTTAAAATATAAGCCAGGAGTTAAACGAAATTTATATACATGACCAATAAGCAATGCGCAATAAGAAAATATTTTAATTTCATATTTTTTTTGCATAACTATCTTATAAATTTAGTTCATAAATTGTAATTAATTGAAAGGTTTTGATTAATAACAATTAATGTATGTTATTTGTTATATTTATTTCAATAAAATCATTTGATCATGATTTTTATCTTTTATATTTATTTTTATTCTAGGCTTTGATGATTATTATGCGCTTATCGATTTTGTCATTCTTTTCACGTGTAAGTGATTCTTCAGTCGGAAGTACTTATATGTCAATATTAAATACACTTTATTCTTTGGGAAATGCTTGTATCAAGACAACTTCATTTGCAGCAATCAGTTATTTGACTATAACTAAATGTTCAAGCAATGTTTTTTGTGATATTTTTAACGTAAGTATTAGATAAAATATACAAAATTCAATTCTTTAAAACATTTTTTGAATAGGTTTGTAAAAGTTTTATGGAAGAATGTGATATTATTGTTGATGGTTACTATGTTGAAATAGCACTTTGTACAGTTCTTGGTACAATTTGGTATTTAGTCTTGTACAGAACTATAAAAAATTTACAGTATAAAGACCTTCAAGATTGGCATGTCAATAAGCAAACCTTAAGTAAAAATTCACAAAATGAAAAAGTGCAGACTAAAGAACCATTTTCAATCTGTCCTATAAATGTAAAGATTTGTGGACAGACCAAGTAAAAACAAACAATTTACATTGATTGTGAATTATTTATACAATCTTTTTAGTTTTGCTAACTTGTTCTATTTAAAATTATCTAAATAAGGTTAACAAGTTCAAGATACCTTAATTGGTCTATTCGATTAGGTGTTCCTCTAGGAAAGATCTTAACCAATAAAAGGCAATACGTTCAATTGTTTTGACGGTCATTTGAGAGTTTGAATAGTATGTTTTAAAGTGTTTTATAGATGTTATTTATCACTTTTGTTGTTCAATCATTTTATTAATATTGTTTTTGTATCAATGTGAATTAATGCTTTAAACGGAGTCGTTATATTATTTTTATAACATTAAGTTTGTTATAAATTGAAATTGTTTTATCATTATGTATTTTGTTTTAAAATTAAAAAATTTCATTCGGGTCACCAGAAGTTCCATAAATTTCTTTGTAAACAACAGACTATTACAATTTGAAGGCTGGAAAAAAAAATTTTCTTGTTACAGATTTTTTTTACTAATCTGTCTCTGTTTTTTGTTTAATATCAATATTTTCATAAAAATGATTTTACATTCTATCACCATGAACTTTATTTTTGACATTTTAATATAACTTTTTCTTTATTTAAAATGTTATTTATTTATTATTATTTGTAATTATTTTTCAATATTTTATAAACTTCGGTTTTAATAATATTATAATTTGGATTTTATTGCTAAATTTATAGTATCCAAATAGATCTTTACCAATTGTGATATTGACAGTACACTGTAAGTTATAATATAAGTCTTGTTGCTGACATAATATGCAAATAAGATAATAAGATGTATTAGGAAGTGAGTAAAAGACGTAGTTTTACAATTAGAATAAATTATCGTAGATAACATCATTCTCAAAGTACGAATACAATTTTGTCTCAATAATTTTTCTAATACTAAAATAAATCAAGATTAAGATTTGAGTTATTTACAGTATTTTTAAATTATTAAAAGCAAATCAGTAATTTTTTTTATCAAACTTTGTTCTTCTGTTATTGAATACGTACAATTTTAAATCAAAATAACGGTCATAAATTTTATGCAATTTTTAATCTTGTAAATTATAGGAGGAATTGAGTAGCCAAATATTTTATCTATTTAGACTGTATTTTTTATATTAAGGTCAAATACATGAGTCCTTTTATTATATAAAAATATTAATATATTAAATAATTGTTTTGTGTTTAATGTACTAATAAATACATTATGTCATTGTATTTAATATTGTTAATGCCTGTAAAAACAGTTTGATTGATTTTGTATATAAATATAATGAATTGTGATAAGTTTTTATAATTACTAATTTAGAAAACCTTAATTTNGCCTTATTACTAGTTATAATTACTAATTTAGAAAACCTTAATTTTTTCATTTTTTATTGATATTGATGTCATATGTTCAAATTTGTATTCAGTATTATATTTATAATTTTTTATTTGAATATAAATCAATTATCTAATTTGTAATTTTGTTGTTAATTATTATTATTTTAGTGCCTTTAAATTTACTTTGTGCTCATTCAGACATATATGTATATATACATATATGTATTGAGTTATTATTTACTTAAAAAAAATGTTTTTTTATTAAACTAACTAAATTAATTAAACATAATTATATGGCGATAGCAAAATTTATTTTTATTTCAATGTATATAAATTTTAGATTTTATTATGGTGTTTTATTTTGTTCAATGTATTTAATACTTATATTTGACTGCAACCAAAAAAAATGAGTAGTTGTTTGGTATTTTTTCTTGTGTCTGCTCTTATAGAAATTCTATTTTAGCTATCTTTTAAATATTAAATATTAATTATTATTAATATAAGTTATTTTATATTTTTATAAGAGTATGTACAAGAAAAAAGAGTATGTATATCTATAGTATGCATATAATTTTTATGGCATGCCAAAAAAAATTAAGCATAAAATGTATTTCATTTTTAAAAATAAATGATAGTTAATTATTTTTAAATAAAAAAAAACCTACAATGAATACGAATTAATGTTCTAAAGATGGTTCTGTAGTTGCTGTTAAAATTTTTTCTCCGAATCAACACAAAATGTATAAAATATGTTTCGTGATTATATTTTATGAGAAGAAGGTAATTAGAGTATATATGACATTATACAAGTTTTATAGTATTATTTTACAGAACAACGCGTTTTATTTTTACTTTATTAATATTAATAATTAATCAGTAAACTACAGAGCCATAACCTCTAGCTCATCTTTGTGCACCAAGTCTCTATACTGATTTATTCCGAACATTAATATTACTGGTGTTGTATTTTAAATACTCTGGTCAAAAGTATCATTTATTAGTTTTCTCTGTATTTATTAAAAATTTATGATAACCTTATCACTGTTTTTATGATATCTTTATACTGACTAGGAATATAATTTTCATCAAATTTATGTATTTCTTGCATAACTACTGAAAAATGTTGGTCACAGGAAAAAAACTTTGCCCTTAACCTAGAAAATACTGATAGACGTAGAAAATTTTTTATCCATTATCGTTGCCAATCGTGACTTTATGATTTCTATATTGTATACCACACGCATCACTAAATATGTGAAGTACTTTCATCTCCTCAGGTGTTGATAAAATCAAGAAGAAAGCTTCAAATTTTATTTTGGACTTATTTTGTTATCTAAATAAATGTAGTGTAAAAAACAGATTTATAAACTATAGAAATGCATAAAACTTAAAAAGCCAAAGAAATGAATACAATTTAAGAAGCCATAGAAATGCATTAAATTTTAAGAAGCCATATAAATACATTCAATTTTAAGAAGCCATATAAATACATTTAATTTTAAGAAGCCATAGAAATACATTTAATTTTAAGAAGCCATAGAAATGAATACAATTTTAAGAAGCCGTAGAAATGAATACAATTTTAAGAAGCCATATAAATGCATTAAATTTTAAGAATCCATAGAAATACATTTAATTTTAAGAAGCCATAGAAATTAATACAATTTTAAGAAGCCGTAGAAATGAATACAATTTTAAGAAGCCATATAAATGCATTAAATTTTAAGAATCCATATAAATGTATTCAATTTTAAAAAGCCATAGAAATACATTAAATTTGAAGAGGCTATAGTAATGAATATAATTTTATGAAGTTCTAGAAATGCAGTAAATTTTAAAATGGTGAGAAGTTTTTTAAATACATAATAGAAAAATACATACATAGAAATACAGAATCATTAGGAGACTAATATGCATTTATATATTTAATGTTTTACTGAAGTCATTTAATTTGTCATTTTAGGACATTGAATTTTATAATTACTGAATATATAATTCTATCTGTGCTACTTAAACTTTGATCTTCATACGTGTAAATATTAATTAGGGAAATTTATGTAATTTTAAAATGTATGAAAATATGAGTCAACCTTAAAGGATTAATCTCTCTTTGGTATTAAGCAAATGAAAGATAAATTAATAGAGGCGCGAGACGTGTTAAAATACACAAAAAAATACACAAGTACAAAAACTACGAACACTCGCTGAAAAAGGAACGATGGCCGAACGACATGCGAACACGTTCAAACTGGTCATACACGAGCACCATGGGAGACACGAGAACGGCTATCAGAGATTGTAACACTCTGCTCAACAGCCTTATTACTGGCATAGTTTTAAAGATTTCATCAACACTAAAAAACTTGTTTTAAATGTGCCTGTAAGTTTGTATTAAAAAAAAATTGAGTTTAATTAAAAGGATATGGTGTAAAGAGGTAAATTCGGCTGATGACGTTCAAATTTTAAGCAAACAAGATTTAATAACAAACTTAACAAAATTTTTAATGGGTTAGGAGCTTACCCTGGTTAACTGTATTCCATAAAACTAAAAAAGATCAGTAAAAAAAATAAATCAGTATTCTTTGCAGCTCGTAAAGTAACAAAAAGTTTATTATTAAAATTCAGAAATGTACTTAATAATTTAGTAAAACAAAACGTAATAGTTAAGTTTGATAGCCCATTTTTTGGATTTACAAAATTGTATTAGTAGAAAAACAAAACAGTGACATACGACTTTATTTAGATACAAAGTATTTAACAAACACATAATAAAAGATTCGTATCCTATGTTCAGTCATGAAAGATTAAAACAACAAATCAAAAAAATGTTAACTGTGCTATACTTAAAAAGCTCCTTTTACCAAATAAAACTTGATGAAAAGTCCACAAACTTATGTTGTTTTTCAATACCTTTCGATAGGTATAAATTTATAAAAATTTCTTTTTATTTATCGGTATAATCAGAAATTTAACGATACGTCAAAATATCACAAATCGTATCTAGTCGAAGACATTACCCTTCAAAATTGAAAAAATTTCCCTCGTTCCCCGTAAATGGGGGAAACCTCCAAAAAAATTACAAATTTAAAAATCGCTAATTTTCGAAATTTTTTCAATTTTTTTTACTAAAAACTGCCGTAACTTTTTCAAAAATGAACATATCAATATAATTTTTTTTTATATAGATGCTTGATGTCTTTACCTATCATTTGGTATATTTTTTTTGTAAATCTGACACTTAACCTGCCCACAGGGGGGGATTTAAAATGACAACTTTTTCACAAAAAATTAACTTTTTCAACTTAACTTTTGAAAATGTTCCGGAAGGTCTGACACTTTTATATATATCTTAAATTAAAGCTAATGTAATGTACTTTAATTTGAAAAAAAAAAATTTGACCTCTGGACTTGTCTTCATGGTGAAAACGGCTACCGAATGCTATTTTTGTGTGAAAATTTTCGATTTTATAATTTACATTTTTTACTTTAAAGTGCTATAACTTTTTAAAAAATGTATGGATCAATACAATTTTTTCATGAGAAGTAGTATTTATATACATCTTTCATTGGATATACTTTTTTTTTAAATCAGACTATTTCCCTATATATGGGGGGGCTTCAAATATAAAAAATGCATATAGAAAGTAGAACTTTTTCAACTTAACTTTTGAAAGTGTTTCGGAAGGTCTGACATTTTTATACATATCTTAAATTGAAGCTTATGTAATATACTTTAATTTGAAAAAAAAAAATTTGACCTCTGGACTTGTCTTCATGGTGAAAACGGCTACCGAATGCTATTTTTGTGTGAAAATTTTCGATTTTATAATTTACATTTTTTACTTTAAAGTGCTATAACTTTTTAAAAAATGTATGGATCAATACAATTTTTTCATGAGAAGTAGTATTTATATACATCTTTCATTGGATATACTTTTTTTTTAAATCAGACTATTTCCCTATATATGGGGGGGCTTCAAATATAAAAAATGCATATAGAAAGTAGAACTTTTTCAACTTAACTTTTGAAAGTGTTCCGGAAGGTCTGACACTTTTATATATATCTTAAATTAAAGCTAATGTAATATACTTTAATTTGAAAAAAAAAAATTTGACCTCTCGACTTGTCTTCATGGCGAAAATGGCTACCGAATGCTATTTTCGTGTGAAAATTCTCGATTTTATTATTTATATTATATATATCTTTGTAATGCTATAACTTATTGAAAAGTTTAGGGATCCACACAATTTTTTTTATATAGATGCTTGATGTCTTTACCTATCATTTGGTATACTTTTTTTGTAAATTCAACCTTTTTTCTGCCCACAGGGGGGGATTTAAAATGACAACTTTTTCACAAAAAATTAACTTTTTCAACTTAACTTTTGAAAATGTTCCGGAAGGTCTGACACTTTTATATATATCTTAAATTAAAGCTAATGTAATATACTTTAATTTGAAAAAAAAAAATTTGACCTCTGGACTTGTCTTCATGGTGAAAACGGCTACCGAATGCTATTTTTGTGTGAAAATTTTCGATTTTATTATTTATATTATATTTAACTTTATAATGCTATAACTTATTGAAAAGTTTATGGATCCACACAATTTTTTTATGAGAAATAATATTTTTTAATAAACCCTTTTTCATTCGACATACTTTATCTTAATCGAGATATTAATAAGGAACCAGCAGATCAAGTAGCTTTTGGAATAAAACACCAATTTTTTTAAAATTAAACACTATCTAAAGATTTGCATCGAAGCGTTTATTTTTGATAGTGATTTTAATCACTGTCAGATATCATTATACTTGATCCAACTATGCCACGTCACCACTGTGCCGCGACCCCCCTGTGCTGGGTTTTTTAAAAGTATAATTAAAAAAATTACAGGTAAAAATGTTTGATTTTATG